AAGTAATCATTATGTTATAATCATGGTAGCAAAACAAAAAATAAAATAAATTAAATTAGTTATTATTTTGATATCATGATATCAAATTTAGTAATTTGAATGTTTTGAAATCTATTGGTTGATATCAAGATTCAAAATCGAAAAATGTTATCAATAAGATTTATTCCAAATAAAAACAAACCTATATTTCAATCAGTTCTATCGATATCTATCTTATATAAATATAGTTAAATATAACTGTAAAAAATCATAATTGTATTTGAGATGTTCACGAAGAAAACAGTAAACAAATCAGCATGCTTGCTGTATTCTTTATGAACATCACAAAGACAATTATGATTTTTACAGTTTTTACTCGTATGAAAAAAAATGTAGATTTCAGTGATAAATGTGGATGCTCTTTTCATAAAATATCAAATTTATTTTTTAATTATATTTTTTAGAAATATCAAAATAATATCAAATTATGAAGTCAACTGAAATTAAAAAATTGTTTATCAAAATATGTTATCAATATGATTTCAAAAACATAATTTGATATCATTTTGATATTATTTTGATATCCGACTTTGCTCGGGTAGAGTCCAGGCTTCCTACCTGCATTGGTTTCAGACTGAATGATTTTTTTTCTATAGTCTAAATCAGTCTGGAACTATGATATGTCACATTGTTTATCGTATGTTAATGCATATAGGGTAGGTGCTCCAGTAATAGTGGCGTACCTATAGTTGCGGTATGGAGTTTGTGCCGGAATAGTGAGAAGGACCTGGATTTGATTATTTTTCATCGGTAGCTCTCCTAATATCCTGCATATTTGCATATTTCAATCTTAAAATATGCCCAAAAGTGACGGAAAATAATTAATTTTCCTTCAGGTTTTCAGTCCCTTGCACAGTTGCGGTAGTGTTCCTATAACAGTGGAACCCATAAGAAACCAACGCATTCCACTATTATAGGAACCAAAGTTAGCAACTACCACAATTACTGGAACAGTGTTCCTATTAATGGAAGACGAGTTTTCTAAAATTGTATGCAATTATATTACTAAGTAATATTTTTCTATCAAAATAGAGGTTGAAAGCTATAAGTTCAAGAACAACATGTGAAAAGGGCATACAAGCTTTTGGTAAACAAACCTTCTTGTGCCCTTTTTAACATCGCCGGGTAGGGGAAACTTTCCTCTTCCCGATGATATTGCTGGTTTGCGTGGGCGACCCTCGGTTGGCGAGAAAAGGGCCTACAAAGGTTTGTTAACAAAAATCTTGCATGCCTTTTTCACATGTGGCTCTTGAATTGACGTATAACGATTGTGTGTACATCGTATATTTATTTTTTGTTTTTATTAATAAATTAGCTTCTTGACTTAGGGGAATTTACGTATTCTCGGCAACCTAAGCAGCGACCTTCTTTCTATAGCCTTTTTCGCACACATATGCAGTATTGGTTTGTTTACAATCTTTTGCTGCCAGCTGCTCTAACAATTTCAGTCGAAAGAATTGTCAAAAACTGTTTTGAAACGCTTTTACAAAGCTCCAATCTTCTCTAGTGAGAGCGAGTATTGTCGGCAACCAGTTTTTCTTCGGCAACCGTTCCATTTGAACTGCATGTAAATCTGCTGTTCTATTATCGGCAACTCGAAATCAGCTACAATTTGTAGTGCGTGTGTTGCATTTCAAGAAAACCTTGCTAGATTACTTTTTCTCAGTGGTAAAAATATAGTCAAATTGAAGCTGAAAGCATAAAGAATCGTTTGCATGCATTCAGCGAAGTGTTTTCGTAAGAAAATCCAGTGAAAATAGTGTTTCAATTTGTGTTGCCGAAAATAGTCTGTCATGCCGAAGCCGTCATTTCCCCTAGTTGTTCATCTTATCAAAACCAAAAAAAAAAAACTCTTCAAAACTCCACAGCCAACTGTTTTTACCAATCTATTTGCATATTTTCGCACTACACTAGACACAAAATTTTTGCTAAGGAATATACTGATTTTAGCCACTTATTGTCTTCTTTTTCGCATTTCAAGCTTATTGCTTATCGCATATTAGCTTATTGCGTGCTCTCAACTCAGGGTTCTAGATGCATTTCCACAGTTATTAATTCAGAGTTTTCGATGAATGTACCTATTTCGCATTAGTATAATTGTACAATCAAGTGGCAAGCACATTCATATTCTAAGCCCAGGGAAGTCAAGACATTTTCCAACCCGAAAAATTTATAGACCGGACTGAGAATCGAACTCAGCCACCTCCAGCATGGTCTTGCTTTGTAGCTGCGCCTTTACCGACTGAGCTAAGGGAGGCCCCTCTCGCTTTTAGCCACACATTTCTAATCAAATGTATGTCAGCGGAATTCTAGTGATTTCACGAAACTAGCTATCTCGCCCATGCACTATGGTCGAAAACGCAAAGCTTCACGATAAAAATCGACATCTCGAAAACTATGCACTCTAGAGATTGGACATCTTCCAGAGAGCTTATCTACATAAAAGATTTGGCGTAGGTAAGTAGGGTGGTCCTCTTGTTTCAAAATTAAAAATTATAATTTATTATTTTAAATACTTGCATTTGAAAAATCAAAAACCTGGAGCTGTTTTTTTACACGGTACATATCCCCCGTGTAAAAAAGACCTGAGTGTATTTTGAATTGTGATAAAAGGAAGCAATTTATACGCCCTCCAATCAACTATTTAGGGTGAGCAGCGAAGCGGCAAAACCGGAAATTTGAAAAATAACCGGGAAATATCCGGGAAATATTCGGGAATCCGTCGGGAAAACCCGGGGAAAAATCAATACACTTTAATGTATGGTCACTTAAACTATAAGTTGTTTTTCTTTCATAAATGTACAAGTTTATTATAACTGAATCATATTGCGCATTTCACTTATTAAAAAGTGTGATAAAATTGCAAGTTTACGTCTAATCGTCTTGGTGTCTTCCTTATGATGCAAGCAATAAGTTCTCCGAAGACATCAAAACGATTTGACGGAAACGTGCACTTTTATCACACTTTTTGCATTTTTGGGACAGTCCAGTTTCAGATGCAATCAGCAATACTACTAAAAAACTAAACTACTCATCGAGCCCATTCCGTCGTAGATATCCATATTGCATGCACAGCAAAAAAATAATTTTGATATCACGTCAAAGTGGATGCACTACAATCATGTCGAAAATATGGTGTAATATTACTTGCTAAAAAGGACAAAATTATCATTAATACAATGCATGAACTAACATTACGCTGCTTTTACTGCATTTGTTTATTTATGTGGTCATAAAAATTACATGAAATTTTCGACATGATTGTAGTGCATCCACTTTGATGTGATATCAAAATTATTTTTTTGCTGTGTGGGTTTAGATGCATATTCGCTGTCCGGAGGCTGCCATATTGGATTTTGGTCCGCCATCTTGGATTTGTGGAAACCATCTTTGGTTGAAATCCACAATTTTAATGTCATCCGGAATGCTGACTTGAATTTCATTTTTATTTTCTTATCTTGATTTTATCCTGCACTGACTGGTGATGTGTTTTATTTTGGGCCAACCTATTTTAAAATGGTTGAAATTGAACTTCTGAAATCGCCATGGTCTCTTAACCAAGAAATTTCAACTTTATCAACTTATGTATAACGTATTCTTTTTTTTCCATAATTACCTGGAGTTCTCCTTGATGTTTTTTTTTCACAACCAGACCTTCCTTTCTTCTGTCCAGAAGTATATTGGAAATTACCTCATAATTTCGTATGGCATTATCTAAGAATTATTTTGGAATCCTGTTCAAAACTCCTATAGGATGTATTGTAGTAATTCTCCTAAAATTTCTGCTAGGTATTCTTCTCGGAATTCTATAGATCTTTTTTAAATTGTGTTATCCCTGAGCATTTTTCAAAGTTGTGGAGCCTTGAAAACACTTCTTTATCAAAATATTGTATTTTTTGTAATCTGGAATCTTGTAAATATTCCAAAAAATGCTCATTTTGAGTATTTTCCTGAATCCCATATCAAACAAAAATCAAAACCTACAACTCTAAACATTTTATTAACACTCCGAACACGATGCCTCCGGTAAAATGTGTAACTGCAAATTTGCAATATATGAAAAATCATTGCTCAGCTAGTTATAGGGGAATTTACGTATTCTCGGCAACCTAAGCAGCGACCTTCTTTCTATAGCCTTTTTCTCTAAGGAACGCACACATATGCAGTATTGGTTTGTTTAAAATCTTTTGCTGTCAGTTGCTCTAACAATTTCAGTCGAAAGAATTGTCAAAAACTGTTTTGAAACGCTTTTACAAAGCTCCAATCTTCTCTAGTGAGAGCGAGTATTGTCGGCAACCAGTTTTTCTTCGGCAACCGTTCCATTTGAACTGCATGTAAATCTGCTGTTCTATTATCGGCAACTCGAAATCAGCTACAATTTGTAGTGCGTATGTTTCATTTCAAGAAAACCCTGCTAGATTGCTTTTTCTCAATGGTAAAAATATAGTCAAATTGAAGCTGAAAGCATAAAGAATCGTTTGCATGCATTCAGCGAAGTGTTTTCGTAAGAAAATCCAGTGAAAATAGTGTTTCAGTTTGGGTTGCCGAAAATAGTCTGTCATGCCGAAGCCGTCATTTCCCCTAGATAGATTTTAAATCTATTGATACCTTATGAATTTTTAAAGTCTATAGTTTCAAATGGCGCAAATGTTAAATGCAAATCTCGTAAAAGCAAAATCAGGTGCTCCTCACAAATGTTGACCTCTTTTTTAGTCAAGACTGTCAAATGTTCAAACATTTTCTCACTCCGATATCTCCAACAATTGTCCCTAGATCTCTTTTGTATTAAGTTCAAGATATCTATTACAATTGCTTAATTCAATCTCTCACTCTTTTCAACTTTATCACACAATTTATAAACAAAAAACGAATTTTAACATTTTCGAACATTACTGATTATTATTGTTAATTACTAAACTCATTCCCCATGCTAATTTTACACTTGTTTCTTTATTTTCCAGGTGAGTCATCTTACAGTTATCCTCAACCTCTCTCTATTCCTATCTGTGAAACAATAAGTAAGTTCATTCATCACGTTTTCCACTGTTTTTTTTTTTCTTTTTCTTATCAAAGTTCAACTTTTACTTGAAAAACAAAAATTTTCACCATGTTTTGACTATCACGCATTTCGTACTCAGTACAACTGACAACTGTTAATAAAACTTGAATTTATGACCTCCTGTGTTTCTCAGACCACAGCAGCCACAAATCCCCGGTGGTTACCGTACAGAGAAGATTCACGTAACGAGCGGAAAACATTTCCCACTCGAAGGCTCAACTGCACGTGCGACAGTTTCCACCCGAAACAACCTCAGCAAATGTCGCTTATCAAACGTTCCGATTTTGCTTTAGGAATTTCTTCTTATTTTTTCACGAGCTGGCAGTGTGACCATACGCCACTCCCCGGGCAAAGACCTTAAACCGTTCGCTGTCAGAGGTGAAAACCTCGACTTTTTAATTTTTCCCACTTTTCCGCTCTTTCTTCCCCAACAAGTTTAATGTGAATAAATACCGAACTGGTCGCAACCGTGTGCGGTTGGTGTGCACTTCTCAAGAAAGATAACTTTCGACATCCGACCGACCAGAACAAATGAAGTGTGAGACCTTTCCCCCCTTCAACCCGGATTCCGGCTCATCGATTTGGTTCATGGAGAGGGTTCTCTGTGGTGTGGTTTCGCCTTTTTTTTCCTTTTTTTTTCTGACTGTTGGTCCAAGAAGAAAAATGATAATAGTTTTTCCACCCACACTTTCTCATCGCCGCGCCGCGTCTCATCTTCTGGTCGGTATTTGGGTCTTCGGATCGAACCAACCAAATGGTACTGAGCGCTTCCAAGTAGCTTTTGCAGAAATGAAAAGTTCCAAAGTAGGGGAGAATGAAGGAAAAACAGAAGCAGATGGTTCCTGCGGTTGCCAGCTATCTCTGATCAGTGGTTTACAAAATCTCGACGGCTGAAAGGTCGAATTGCAAAAGATCGATTCGTTTTGTTTAATGGTGTCCCTTTTTCCTACTTTTAATGATCATTCCTTTGTGTGTTTATGAAAATGTAATGTGGTTTTGCATTTATTGACAATCATGTCGGCTCTTCTGATTTTCGAGTTTTTGTGAATTCCATCTTTTCCAACAAATTTGTTTTTTGGACGGTTATTGCAAATACGAGATGACGTTGAATAGTTTACTTTTACTTAAATAAATCTACTATTTGTACTTCAATAGCATACATTTTCATAAAGGACCTCAATCGACAAACTGGTGCAAAGTGTGAAACATTTGCAATATATTGTTGAACTTCTGCTCTGACTTTGATGTCGATGGTCCAGACTAAGACATCAGGTTACGCTTTGCAACGTAGATCCATTCCAATTTCTACTGTGTCATTCCCCAACCGTTCGACCTTTGCTCATTCGACCTGCCGTTGCAAATCCACCGTGCACCATAAAGCGACGAGATCGATCCCGTAGACCACCAGTGTCAATTATTTTTACGTACGATTAAATTTTAAAGAAAACCCATGGTTCTTCAAGTTGTTCCGATGACGACAAGAGATGAGAATGGAGCCGAAACGGTCAATGGAGCGTGCTGCAATGCTCGGAAATTGAACGGGCTACTGACCGAATACACTTCACCAGGCCACCACCGCAAGTGAATGGAAGGAGGAAAACAAAAGATTTTTCTTCTCGTTCACACTGGCAGCTTTTCCACCTCCAAAGCACACGAGAGCGATGCGATGGAACGATGTAAATTTTAGTTTAAGTTTAATCCTTGAACGTAGGATGAAGTGCGAAGGATGAGTTTTTCTTTCTTGGCGCTTGTTCCTCAAGAGAAATTGGCGGAGATGCTGACGTGGGTCGAGGGATGGAGGGATTTAAGGGGGGGGGGGGGGGGGGGGGATTAGGTTCAGTTTAGTTCGGAGAGATGGGTATCTTTCAAAGGCACGTATCTATTTTCGGATGGTTGAAGGAGAATGAATGGAAGGCATTTGTCTATATTAATAAATATTTACTGCAAAGCGTTTTTTCACGGAAGGATGTAGGTACTTTGTTTCAGTGGATTGGTTGATTGAGATACAGTATTACAAACGTCTCAACACATACTTCGAAAACGTAGGGTACATTTCCCTCGTATCTGCCAAAAGATTTGTGTTGAAAACCTTCGTATTCCACTTCCACTCCACATTGTCATAGATTTCCGTTGGCCGATGATGTACCGGATCGCCTGATGGTCGCTATGGGTGTACCCCTCGCACACTCTCCAGTTCATGTATGATACCAGCGACGGACTGCAGAATGTGACGTTGATAATGGATTCTTAACCGTCTCTACGGAAAGTGCTGATGGTGCCTTCGTTGGTCAGACTAAGTTCCAGCTTTGTCAGAGCTTTCAGTCTCTTGCATCCGCACACCCCCAAACCTCTGCCCAAGCATTAAAATCTCCTCCGATGACGATAGATCTCCGAACCATTAACTGTTCGGTTAGTACATCCAACACCTGATGGAAATGGTCCATTATATCATTATATTACACTACATTACAGGTGTTTCAAGATATAATTTTTCACTGTCCGAAATATGATTGTGTCCGAGGTTTGATACGGAACGGTATGATATAAAGCGTAATTAAATTCAGTTGGAGGAACGGGTATGTAAAATAAGTAATATTCGAGATTTAGAAAAGACGTGTTGATCGGAAATCCATATCAAATCCTTCTCAGGAGCAGTTGTTGCCGTCGTCGGTGAGGTTGCCGTCGGAACAGAATCCTAAAGGGTGTCCACGATGAAATTGCCACACACAAAATTGATTCGCAAAATTCGAGTTTTCATCCGATTGCCATCAAATTTTCAGGGATTGAGAAATAACTATTTATTCAACTTCATTTTACCATTTTACTCGTATTTTATTTACAGTCCATACGCAAATGCCCGCACCTTGGCCTTAACCCCGGCCATAAGATTCTGCACAACCTGTGAATCAACCGTTTTTTGCATGTAAACCCATACTTTCTTCAGTTCCTCGACTGTCTTCACTACCTTAGGTCGTTTAAGAAGGTGCTGCTTCATAATCGCCCAGTACTTCTCGATGGGGCGGAGCTCCGGAGTGTTGGGAGGGTTGAACATTTTCGGCGCGAAATTGACCTTATTGTCCGCATACCACTTCAGCACGTCCTTGGAGTAGTGGCATGAGGCCAAATCCGGCCAGAAGATTGTTGGGACGTTGTGGGCCTTCAGGAGAGGAAGCAGCCGCTTCTGGAGGCACTCTTTTATGTACACCTGTCCGTTCATCGTGTCCTGGGTCACGAAAGGTGCACTCCGCTTCCCGCAAGTGCAGATGGCTTGCCAAACCAGGAATTTCTTCGCAAATTTGGACATCTTCTGAGTGCGGACATGCTCCGGAACGCTGAACTTATCCTTGGCCTTGAAAAACAGGTTGCCTGGGATCTGTTTGAAGTCGGCCTTCACATATGTTTCGTCGTCCATGATGCAGCATTCAACTTCCGTCAGCATGTTGAGGTACAACTTCCTGGCACGGGTTTTGGCGGACTTGTTCTGCTTCTCGTCGCGATTAGGGGCCTTTTGTACCTTGAACGTTCGAAGCCCAGCCTTAGTTTTGGCCTTCTGGACAAAACTTCGGCTTAGGTGCAGCTTCTTAGCCACATCCCTAACGGAGGCGTTCGGATTTCGGTTGAAGGCCCCAACTACGCGGTTGTGATTTTTGGTGTTGTACGGAATACTTTTTCCTTCACTTCTGGGCTTCCGATCGGTGGTCAACCGTTCCTCGAACCGCTTAATCACTCGCGACACCGTGGAATTCGCGATTCCCAACGTTTTAGCGATGAAACGATGCGAGAGATCCTTGTTCTCGTGATGAATGCGCAAGATTTTATCACGCACGAGCTGTTCTTTCGACTCTATTTCCGCGAGTTTTGATCACAGGACTTTAAAACTTGCAGGATGTAAATAATGCACTATGAACTAAATCCACCCAAATTTTCATTAAATTCTAGCCAACGGTTAAAAAGTTAGAGCAATTTCATAGTGTGGCAATTTCATCGTGGACACCCTTTATTGCCACGCCAATGCTCAATATACAGTCGATCAACCAGCTGAAACACTACATCATTAATTTATGCATGACACTTACCTTTAATCACACCACAGCTGTTCAATCTACCATCCTACCAAACTGCTTCGTCACTTGTTTCTATTTCTTGTTCGATTCAATTCATCCGCAATGGATAAATAAAACATCCCAATCTATTCTCAGTAATGGAATGATGCCATAACTGTGCCTAGAATTATGATTACAAAAAGAATAATCTTCACCAACGATACCAGTCATAACAATTCCCTGAAGATGCGTGTCGGGGCTAGGACCGTACCATTGGAGAGGGACATTCATAGGAATGCGTTGGCTTTGCGATGTATTTCGCTTGAGAAGCAGCTCTGACCCATTCCATGAAGCGCTTCACCGTGACTTGTCAACGACTTTTCTTATATTCTGTGTTGTTATTAATTAATTTAAGAATTATCTTTGGAATATGAAAACAGTTTTATCTACCGGAAAGTTTCTATTTGAATATAGTTAAAGTCGATAACTACTATTTTTAGGTCGCGTCACGCATTGTTTTACTTCTACTAGAAAACAAAGTAAATCATGTCATCTTTCTTTTGGTGCACGTTACATTGTCATATTATGAAGTTTATTATAGATTTTAAACGAAAAGAGTAATCATGGACTGAAAATCTGCGTATCACGTCCCTTGGAATGGGTCTTCTGCTTTTGGTACATTCTACCAAACCAAAAAACTTAGAAACTATTACCTTTACCGGTAATTTTTTTTCTGAACGCTCAACAGCGAACGTCTTATTTGGAATCCACAATTTTCTTTAAGTTCTCTCTAAATCACTCTGAAGATCTCTGGATATTCCTGCAGTTCTCAGAACTTCTTAAAAGTTTCTGCAGTTTTCAGTTGAAGCAGATGGAACCGCCTTGAAGTTCTTTAAGCTCCCCTGAAGTTTTCAAA